ATTAACTGGCATCACAATATACCTGTTTATTACATAAATGGTCGTCTTTTTGGATAAAACTGTTGCCAGGTTCGCTCCCAGAATTTGATGAAACCGAGGGAGTATCTGGAATGTATTCAGTACCACTACTATAAGCTTCATTTTCTTCTGAAGCATGCTCACTACTACTACTACCATGAGCATCAAAATGTTCATCACTAGTAGATACTACATCAATTGTAGGTGATATTCCACCAGACTGGAGGTTTCTAAAGTGTTCTTGCGGACTTATAGGTATTTCTTCTTCAAAGAGATTTTTTTTAACCTTCTGTAGTCTTGTGTTATACACCTTTTCGGTGGAGGATATGCTGGAGTATTGAATTTTTATAGCAGGTGTTCTTGTTTGACTTGTTACGTTCCCAAATAGTTCTTGGGATCCTGTGAAGTAAAATGTTTAATGTTATAATTTTTTTAAATTAAGTCTTTTCAGTACCGACAATGCAGTGGCTATCCAAGATATTTCTGCAGCCAAAAGTATTGCTTGAACCAAGTTTTAGTGACTTTATCTATTTGCCCAAAACAATTTGTTCATTCTTTAATATATCTGTTCATTCTTTAATATAATTTTAATCAACAATTTTACAAAATTTGCTTTTCAATTAAAGAGTTCTAGGGCTATTGATTAAATCAAAGTTTCGCAAATAATTCATAAATTACTACTTCCAGTTATTTTCCAAACTTGAATGTCAATGAATAATTTGACCTCACTAAAATTTCTTGAGACACAGAAGTAAATTATGTACCGTAGTTTTTAAAAGTAAACAATGTATTTTTGTAAAGATAGAAAAAGTGTTATACAGAATTCCCCAAAAAGCAGTAATAATTTTTTCAATGGAACTGCCTATATATTACACAATGTTTGGATTATGTGAGGAATTTGAAATATTTATCATTAAGCATACCACAGGTCTATCTTCAATTGTTTTTAAATCATCGACATTTGATAAATAACAGTTTTGGTACTCTAAATCCTCATAACCCCTCAACAATCTTATTGTTAGAGCAAAATAAAAATGCCATAAAACGAAGTATGTATCATTACTTTTGTTTCACTCATTATTATAGGTGAAAGCTTATCAAAAACTAGAGCGGATGTTATTCTGCTCGAAGCCAAACTGTTCAGGCGTTGTGAGGATTCAAAGTGCCCAGAAATATCACCTTTCAAATGCCCTTAATTCAAAAAGAATTCAAATAGACCAACAGTATGTTCCAAAAAGTATGTAAAATCTGTCACGAAATCAAACAAAAAAAACCTAACATAGTTGTATCCCAGTTTCTTGCGAAACCTTGTTATATGTCCGCTATTTTTATAAAAATACGCTATTTTCCTTGCAATTGGTAAAAAATGTAAATTTGTATTTCAAACAATGAAAAAAGAGACGTGCACAATTTCTAATCAGTAACCCTGTACAGTCAACGGCTACTTACAATAACTCGGTTTTATTTATGAAAAAACTTATTCAGAACTTACTTTGAATGCACAAATCTTGTTCGTTCTGGGTGGTTCCAAGTCGTTCATATTTAGGAACTTTCAGGAAATCAATGCAACTCCTGTCCTTTATATTGAGTGCATTCAACATAATTTTTGTTTTTCTGTCCATATTATCTGAAATTACCAAAGCAATGAATACAGCTAGAATCAATAAAATTGGAAGAGTAGTTTGACACGTTGTTATTTGATTGGGATTTTCTTTATTCAAAAAAGTTTTTAATCTCTGTTTGGCCAGTTCTATAGTATTCTATAGTATTTATCTTCCATTAGCATATTTTTAAGGAGACATTATGAAACATTGCATTCAAACTGACGGCACGACTTCTAAATATCGCTCAATCGGTCGAAAAAATATTTATAATTGGGGATGTATGTGATCAGTAAGACCGAGCATTACACTTTTTAATACCTGAGAAGTGAAATTTAGTATCCTGGTGATCAATTAGCTTTCGTGCAGCATTTTGTTTTAATGTTAGAAACATTTTTCAGTCTAATTAATGACATACCCAGAAAATTAATTATTGACTTCCTATCCTTTACTGAATAAACCAAGAATGAATTGGTACTGTCAATGTCAAAGTGAATATCTTCAAAGTACTGAAAAATTCTCTGTATTTATCCATTTTAAAGTTATTATGAGTTTACCAATCATCAACTAAAGTGGTTCGGATGTTAGTTCGAACACATTAAGAGTGCTATTGAGGAAACCGACAGTGCCCGCCATGAAGCCTCGCAAAGCTCCCCGACACTGACAAGCTCCATGGATCAAGTGTCAAAAACAGGGCCATTGATGTTGAAAACCCTTCATAACTATACCTGAAGGTACCGCTTAGGCCGTAGACCCAAACGGCAATGTCTCACTAGCAAGAAAGTCAAAGAAAGAACGATTCAAGAAAATATACACGGAACCTTTAGCATTGTGACAATCATAGTTTCAGTTGTCACTTTAACAGGTATATCTCTCCTTTGTACACTATTTCCTCAAGATATAAATACTATGACGAATTGGACGAAGCATAATGATGAGGTAGCCACTAAGACAAATAAGAACACACCAGAGGTTATAATTGGAACCTCTGAGATAATAGAAATTGTTGAGAAAGAATGTGAACACCCACGAGAATGCTGTGAAAAAAAGGTACTTGTCCAGCAGAGGGCGAAGCACCAGATTCAGATACACGCCATGATGGATTCGAACTTTTCCCAGATAAAAAGAGGAAATGATCTGCGAGGAAGGCAAGATTAAGTTGATGCTGAAGTAAGCTAAAATACAAGTGGACTCTTCTGATCTTGATAGGTGGTAGACGGTCATTGATCGTCGTCGTTGAGGCACCACCCTCGGTTCTCTTAGGTGGGGCCTGAATGTGTACGCATGCTCCCTCATTAGAGTACGTGTGACGTTTCCCCTTTCCACTGTAGTCTCACGGCACCCACGGTGTTTAGGCCTTAGGCCTGCGTAATGACATGTATAAATAGCCGGTTAGAAAACACTTTTTTAATATTTAATCATATGATTATTTACAATATAAATAAATATATTAAAGTATAAGTGTATATTGAGGTCTTTAGAACGTTTGTGTTTTATTTTTGTAAATTGTTTCTAAACCGTAAGAAAATATATTAAATTTTATAGCTGAAAAATCTGCCGCGAAACGGCAAAACGTTCCAACAAAATGAGGTTAGTTTCATTATCTGAATGTTAATCCCAGAAAAGTAACAGAAATATTGAGAATATTTGTTAGGAATTTCACTAATATTAATTACATATACAATAAATAAATATTTTCATACTTACCCACAATAAAACCTTGAAACCGATTGAGAAACAATTAATTAGCACATGTTCGAAAGGAAACCCGAAATAGGAAATAGAACTAAATGGAACACTGCATCATCAGACACAGCGAGTTTAGGATGGACGCTTGGAAATCGATAGGCTAAAAGTATAATATACCCACAATCAAATCTTAAAAACGAATGCAGAACAAATAATGCCAGTCGGCTATTAGCAGGTGGTCGGAAAGAAACCTAAAAATAGAATTAAAGGGAATGCTGTGTTGTCAATATTTGAAATTTAGGGTGGACGCTTAGAAATCGACAGGTTAAAAGTATAATATACTTGCCAAAATATTCAACAGTCGTATCACGCGCCTCTATAGGCGAAAGCGTTCAACTTATAATATACCACTACTATATAAAAAAGCAGGTTGTGGTATTATCCGGGCGCCCGTACAAAATTTTAATGGACGATTCTAAACACACTTTGGATACAAAATCTATGGGAAATCAACCGGGCGTCCGTATACGGACGCTCGGTTGAAGTCGGACGCTTGCAAGATAGCAAATCGGCAATGTATGGACGCCACGGAGTTAGTGGGATGAATATATATATATATATATATATATATGTATATATATACAGGGTGACTTTGAAGTTGAGTCATTAATTTTCAGATAATGATTGTAGAAAGAAGATAAACCAAAATATGTGTGTAAAAATAAAAAAAAAATTAAAAAAAATGTTTACCTTGTTTTATAAAGTATCCTCCCGACAAGTATTTCAGTGCGGACCTGTATTTGATCGTGAGGTCTTGGAGCACCGGCATGCCCTCCCCTGTGAGGTCTTAAGTCACCTGATTCACGAGCCCGTTGTACTACATTAACAAAGGCACGAGGGGTTGTTTGCACTCGATTGGGAAACCGATCCGCATAAACATGCGCCATTTTTTATTTCGTTTGAGCCACGCAGCGAACACCACTATTCACTCACGCGTTACCGACTGACACATCGACTGAATAAAAACATCGTGATCAGCGTTTCAAATTCTTTCGCTTTTTTGTTTCCGATGCGATGAAGGCGGATTATATACGTTGTTGCCAAACACGAGCACATAATATTATTATTGAGACAGGGCGGTACTCAAACTTCTAAAGGGCTATAACTTTGTTACTTTAATTTTACCAGAAAAATGTTAAAGGAAAAAAACATTTCTTTTGATCAGATCTACTCACTGTTAAAATAAATGACTCAACTTCGAAGTATATACATATATATATATATATATATATATATATATATATCGACCACAATCACCACAATCTTACTAATTTTTATAATCTAATCTAAAACGTTTTTAAATTGGGTAATTAATAAATGAATGGAATGAATTGTTTAAATTTGGTTGTTTCTTTTTTTGGCTCTAGCAGCTGCTTATTTAGGGGCAAGCTGATGTAGCCTTTTATCCTCTTAAGGTTTTTTTGTTTGTAAACTTTGTATATACTGTTTAATGAGAGTAATAAATATTATTATTATATACGATACTGAATCCTTAGTCTGATCAACTGGGGCCGATTTTCCATGTTTTGTGCCTGGCCCTATTGTATGGTATAGCCATAACTTTAGCGTCCAAGTGGTCCTATAGACAAAATGCCCAGTAAAACATTAAAGGCTTCTCTTCCTGTATTGCAGTGTCTACGAAAAACTGTGGCTTCACAGAATTAGAAATCCAAGTAACGAATCCCATCCACCAGTCTCTGGCAGTACATCAAACTCCCATCGACGACAAGTTGACGCAGGTGATGTTCCAGCCGGGCATGGCTGGCCTATACCAGGTTGCTGTTACTTACGGCGGGGTCCCTGTTAAGGGTAAGTTTGATCCAGGCTTTAGACTTTAGATTATTTATTTTATACAGGCTTTTCAAAAGGAAAAAACTTCTTCAAGTATATTGAATCTGATTTGTCTGTTCGTAACTAACTTTTATCTCACAGGGTGCCATTTTTTCTTTCCAGGTTCCCCACTAGCGCTGGGCGTGGGTCCAGTAGGTCCAACACCACCACCCCGAGCCGTAGGTCGCGGCCTCGAAGCAGGAAGAGTCGGAGAAAGGTGCTCCTTCGCAGTAAGCAGCGTTGTGCAACCGAGAGTCACCGTGGAAGCAGTCGAAGGTTCAGTTGAGCCTCACGTGCTGAGCCCTAAGCCCGGAGAGTACGTGGTGACGTATACGCCCAAATGGGTGGGCGTGTACGACGTGGTGGTCATGATCGGGCCCAATGAGGTAAGGCTAGTTGATATTCCTGTCATACAGGTTGACCAATAACGGTATATTTAAATGTTCAGTTGATTAGTACTAGAAATATAGTTTGCTACAATATGCAGGGTGTCCGCAAAGTTGGGGTTTTCCTTTTCAGAAACAACTACCCTTGAAATAACAAAGGTAATGTGTAGTGAAACGAGGGCGACCAAGTAAAAAAAAATAAAGGAAAAAGTACTCACTCTGCAGTTGACGAGAAGGGCTAAGTACGTCTCTGCCCGAAATCATACCGCTCCAACAGAAAATGAAATCAGCTGATGCGCTACCGAGCAGACGCAGAAACCACATTGATTGTCTTACACTTAATGGCACATCTTCAAACAAGGAAGGCAAAATGTTGCGTAAAAAGTCTAGGTATTGCATCCCGTCCAATCGATTTGGGAGAATAAACGGTCCAATGTGCATACCGTTCACAATGCCAGCCCAAACATTCACCGAAAATGTTTGTTGAAAATGTGCCCGACGGACAGCGTGCGGATTTTCTACTGACCAAACATGAGTGTTGCGAAAGTTATTCACCCCATTACGCGTGAACGTAGATTCGTCTGTCACCAATATGCACTTCAAAAAGTCCGGATTATTGTCATGTTGATGCAACGACCACTCACAAAACCGCACTCTTGCTGGAAAATCGTCAGGTTGAAGGGCTTGTACACGTTGGACGTGAAACGGATACAGCCCCTCTTCACGCAGCGTTTGTCACACTTTAGTTTTTGATAATTGCACTTCTCTAGCCACGTCTCTAGTGCTTGTTGTTTTTTGAAACGCAATCGATTATAGGGGTTCGTTTACCTCTACACGCGTGACCGTAACCGTCGGTTGAAGGTTGCATACTGACCTGACACAGTGATCCCGACCCACTTGTACCAGTCGGTGATATCGCGGGTCGCGGCTACAGGACGGTATTCAGATATTTTTGATGTTGCAGAGCCCTTTATCTCGGTTCCTTTAAGACATTGGTGTATATGGTACTAAGAAAAATTGCTTATGTTTTCAAGATCTATACGTCGTGTAAAGGAAAACCCCAACTTTGCGGACACCCTGTATTATTGATAACAATGGAAACATTTTATTAGGATTTGAAAATATTATCGTTTATGACAACAATATAGTATCACAATGTAAAAATTGCTTAAGGTTTAATCATTCAACGAAAAAAATGTCGAAATTGTAAAGTATGCCCAAAACCATGACATTTCCTCCTGCAATCAATCAACCACCAAATGTTGTAACTGTGTCTCTGCCAACCACAAGTACAACAAACAATATGAAACAAATCATGATCCAACTGATAAAAAATGCCCTACTTTCAAATTCTTCCAACAACACATATCACGAGTTTTATTTTGAGAAGTGGATCTTATATACAAAATTTAATTCTAAATTATGAAAGAAAACAAACCTTTTAAACTTGGTCACTTAAATATTCGGTCTCTAGTATCTTCTCTATCTGGTTTTGCCTACATGTTGGAAGATTCTGATTATGATATTTTAGCTCTATCCGAAACATGGCTCAATAAAAACATCGTAGATAGTATTTTATATACTAGGTGACATATAAATCCGAACACCCAGTTTAAATGGTTTTATTTTAATAAAATTTTGTACAAGTACTTAATGAAGCATAATAAGTAAATGATAAAAATTTCAAAATGATTGCACTGCTTTAAAGCCCTTTAACCTTTAATAATGTGTGGATGCACCCTGATGTGCTACGCATTCTCCAACGCGCCTAGGCATGCTTCTGATCAGGTGGTCAATCTCCTCCTGTGGTATCTCATTCCAGGCAACCACCAACTCCTCGCGAAGTGCTTCTAGAGTCTGAGGAGGACGTTGCAAATTGAGCAATCTCCTACCCATCATATCCCACACGTGCTCAATTGGGGATAAGTCGGGAGATCTTGGTGGCCATGGTAACAATGTGACATCATTATGTTGAAAGAAGTCTATTGTGACTCTTGCAACATGTGGTCGGGCATTATCTTGTTGGAAAGTTGGATCTGTTAGGGTGTCAAGATATGTAAAAGATGGGGTTCTAGAACTTCGTGGATATAACGCTGCGCGTTCATGTTACCTCTGATACAATAGGTCTTCCGTGTTCTGCAAACCATTCATTTGCAATGGACCTGGTAGTGGAGAAACGGTCCCTTAAGGCCAATAATCTTAGGCGGCGATCTTCACGGTCTGTTGTTCTACGGCGGCGTCCAGTGCCCCTTGCTCTTTGCGTACGGCCTTCTCGAAGCCATGCCTGACAACACCTAACCACAGTGTCTACACTTCTTTGCACTCTAACTGCAATTGCCCGAAAAGAAAGTCCAGCTTCCCGAAGTCCCACTATACGGCCCCTATCAAACTCACTAAGTTGACGAAATCGTACAGGTCTCCGTTCTCTAGGCATCGTAACCGATCGTAAAGGATGTCAAGAACCAAAATCCGCCAACGTTGATTCTCTACTGCGGCTGAAATATTCATTTTTAGAGCGTTAGTGAATTAAAAAAAGCAGTATAAAAACCGGAATGTCCAACTGATGAGGCTGAAAATTTTTTCACTTGTTATTTACAGAAAGATAAATACATTCACCAACTTTTATTAAAATAAAACCATTTAAACTGGGTGTCCGGATTTATATGTCACTTAGTATATATTCAAGGATATACATTCTATCGAAAAGATAGGGAGAATCGCGGTGGAGGCGTGTGCATTTACGTGAGAAATGGTTTGCTCTGCGAAGAATTACAGATTGAGAACCATATTGGCTACTTACCTAGTGTTGAGAATATGTGGATTGAATTGAAATTATGTGGTCAAACTCTTGCCTTTGGGGTAGTTTACCGACCTCCCCATAACAATGTTGATGAAGCCTTTGATTTTTTTGATCTGGTACCCAACTTTGTTTATGTCGTACTTGTTGGAGATATGAATATAAATCTTTCAAGTTCAGACAACAAATTAGAAAATTCTTTTAATGCGTATGGATTCCATCAAGTTATTATAGAACCCTCTAGAATAACTAGTACTTCGAGCAGCCTACTGGATCCCATATTTATCAATGATCTTCAAGTCTGTTCAAATTCTGAGACTATAAATATGGATTGATTTATCGATCATTTTTTAGTATTTTGTGAAGCAACTTTGCAGTCTAAAAAACCTAAGCAAAAATTCGTTAAATTCAGAGACTTTAAAAATTTTTATGTTTTGTCATTTCAAAATGATATTTTAAACTTCGAAGTTGAGTCATTTATTTTAACAGTGAGTAGATCTGATCAAAAGAAATGTTTTTTTCCTTTAACATTTTTGTGGTAAAATTAAAGTAACAAAGTTATAGCCCTTTAGAAGTTTGAGTACCGCCCTGTCTCAATAATAATATTATGTGCTCGTGTTTGGCAACAACGGATATAATCCGCCTTATCGGTTCATCGCATCGGAAACAAAAAAGCGAAAGAATTTGAAACGCTGATCACGATGTTTTTATTCAGTCAATGTGTCAGTCGGTAACGCGTGAGTGAATAGTGGTGTTTGCTGAGTGGCTCAAACGAAATAAAAAATGGCACATGTTTATGCGGATCGGTTTCCCAATCGAGTGCAAACAACCACTCGTGCCTTTGTTAATGTAGTACAACGGGCTCGTGAATCAGGTGACTTAAGACCTCACCGGGGAGGGCATGCCGGTGCTCCAAGACCTCACGATCAAATACAGGTCCGCACTGAAATACTTGTCGGGAGGATACTTTATAAAACAAGGTAAATTTTTTTTTTCAATTTTTTTTTATTTTTACACACATATTTTGGTTTATCTTCCTTCTACAATCATTATCTGAAAATTAATGACTCAACTTCAAAGTCACCCTGTATATGCTATATGCCATATTTTTATATACCTACATTTGTAATCTTCTAACTTATCAAATGTATTTATGTTTTTTCAGTTTTTCTTTTTTTTTGGGGGGGGGGGGTTAAGTAGCATTAAAGTTCGCCCCCTAAATAAAGACGATTTATTATTATTATTAACTATTAATCAGAAAATATCGTCTTCAGCTTCCTGGTTCTCCGTTCCATCCGACGATCGTCGACCCTTCAGCGGTACGAGTCATAGGCGGTTGGTCCCAGCATCTGGACGACTCAGGTCGAATCCGGTTGCCCGCCAAACTGGCGTTCGATACCGGAAACGCGGGTCCGGGTCCGTTGGAATGCACTGTGGCGGGAAGAAAAGTAACCGGAGAGAAAAACGGGGATAGAGTCAGGTTCGAGATGAGTGGCGAAGGGATGTCGCCCGGGGAACACGAGTTCGAAATGAAGTAAGTTTTTTTTTGGAAAAAGGAAGCTTGTTATGGAAGAAAGATTCATTAGGAATTACCAATTGTCTTTTTACTCATTTTGCATGATTTTTTAAGTCTTATTTCAGTTGGTCTAGTTTTGGTATTAAGATAGTATTGGGAATTGTCAAAGCGTAAGCAAAGAGAGGACACCACTTTGCAGGTTTTCAGTCTCCTTCATTGACCATGTCCGTTAAGATTGTGGCACTGCATTACTAATTGCTTGTTTCAGCAAATTTTACAGCAATCTATGAGAGTCACCTGAACGAAGTGTAAGACTCTCCGAGAGTGGCAAACTCACTGAAATCTGTCAGGTTTTTATTATGTTTGTTGTACTATGATGATAGCATCGGTCTGCATTTACCAATGGTGATTGTCTCGTATTAAATAACGATATGAATATTTATAATTGGAAGTATATTCTAAATTTGTCTTTGGTTATATATATATATATATACGTATATATCCTTGAATTTCTTTGGGTATACGACAAAGTATTGCAAAAGTACACATTATAACTTAATCTCGAGCTTTCGAAGATCTATGTCTTCATCGTCTGGAGCTGGAAACAGTTATTGACAATAGCAACAATTAACAATTAGGAGGAAAAATAGTTATCAATCAACGTTTTAGTCAAAAAACCTTCCAAAATGATTTGCCATTTAATAACCAAATAATTACGTCCTAATCGAACCTCATCAGTCCAGTTTTTTATCGTCGACGATGTGTTCCCGTCACTGTTGTTTAAAAACAACTTCAGCAACAACCCGCCGACTTAGTAAGTAACTGTTTTTCCTACTAATTGTTAATTGCTGCTATTGTCAATAATTGTTTCCAGCTCCAGACGATGAAGACATAGATCTTCGAAAGCTCGAGTTTAATATATATATATATATAAACAAGTAGGAAAATAATGGGCAAAATCCGCAAAAAGGAGGAAAGTGGATTCGAGCAGAAAATAGGATAGGTAACCTGAGCGATACGTATTTCTGCTGGTCGGCTTCTCAATATTCTCTCATATTCTCTTTGTAGATCCTTTGGGCTTGAAGTACCACAGCAAGCGGCTATAACCGGCCGCGTGGTGGTGGTTAGACGTCTCCTTGAAAATTTGAGGTCGTATAGCCATTTTATACTACAATGTGTAGGTAGGCTCTTGTTGTTGACCTCGTGTGTCGTTTTTTTTTCCCTCCAACTTCGTTTCCTCAGGTTACACCCGTATCCGGATGTGTGGGCATGTGTATCTACTTTTATAGTTTCATATGTGCATTCATTTCGGGCCTGATGAAGCTAACCAGCAGAAATACGTATCGCTCGGGTTACCTATCTTATTTTCTGCTCGAATCCACTTTCCTCCTTTTTGCGGATTTTGACCATTTTCCTACTTGTTGTTATATACTTTTCTCCGCATGATCATATTCTCTCTCTCTCTCTCTCTCTCTATATATATATATATATATAGGTAATCTCCAGCTTTCTACATTCTCTATGGAGCCATCTTCAGGAGCTGAAAACAGAATTACGATGCTAGCTTCAGCTTCAGCTCCTGAGGATGGCGCCATAGAGAATGCCGAAAGCTAGAGGTTACCGTTAAAAGAGTTTACTTAAGCTTAAAATTTTGCCAATTTCCCAATTAACAATTAATTGTATTTTTTGCCCAACTGATCGTTGGCAATGGAATAACTACTGCTCCTATATATATTTGTGAAATGAAATGAAATACGTCAATTTTTTTACCTTCTTGATTTTTTATTGAAACTTAGAAATCATATATGAAAGATATCAGACAAATATCCGCCTCTAAAAGCCGCGCAAACCTGAGCGCTCTTCAGCTGCCTACAGTATTTGGTTTGTGGCATAAAGCCTCTTTTTCAAAAATCGCTATAGAAAGTCAGAAGCCGTTAGATCCGGTGACCTTGGTGACCAGTTGACATCACCAAATTCATTATTATGGATATTGAGCTGCAATATTGCATGCCAGACGCGTTGTGGAATCGTGTAGCGCCACCTACTGAATTCAATACATCTATTGAAAGATTGACCAGGCATTGTGTACCTCAAGGTTCAGTCCTGGGTCCCGTACGGTTTCTCACTTTTATCAATCATCTACCTTGTAACAACGGTGGCAATTATATTTTATTTGCAGACGACACCACCGTCTCAATGAAAAAAACAGATTTCTGAGCTTTCTGAGAAGGCTAAAACCATGCACTAAATAGGCAGGCATCCAAACTAGTTTCATATCAGAGTACATCGTTCCTCTTCTTTTCAGGATTGCTGGCTTCTCGCTTCCCGAAGCTCCAAGCAGCGTGGTTTGTGTTGGCGACCAAGTGGTACTTACAGGGAAAGGACTAGCTCAAGCTCAATGTGGAGAGCCTGCCGTATTTACTATTGATGGGTCCAAAGCTAGTTCAGGTAAGGCTGTGATCTGATACCAGATTGATGTTATGAGACGAGGGAACCAAGATAGCGACATAAGACACGAGATGTCGCAAAGATGGAAGAAGTATTTCTTATTGATTAAATCGATATACTAATTGGACTCCTCTTGTATCTAACATATTTTTTTGGCACTTTTTAGGTAACCCTGAGGTGACCTTGCAAGCTGCAGACACAAACATCCCTGTACCGGTAATGATCAGTTTGGCAGGAGATAAAATTTGGAGAGCTACGTACACCACTACCACGCCTGGAAACTATTTGCTATCTGTCCTCTGGGCTGGAAGACCTGTTAAAGGATGTCCACTGATCGTGGAAGCTAAAGGAGGCGCAGACGCTTCAAAGGTAAGAAACATTGCAATAATAAAGTGATTATCTTCCATTTTATAGGTAAATAAACAAGGAATTTATTTTAAGTTTTCGTTTGATCAAGGAGCTGGAAAGCCAAAAATAAGATAACTTGATGTGAGCACCAGGACCCGAAGAGCACGAAGGAAGAGAAGGAAGTGAAGATGCGACGAACAGCTCAATGATCGAATAAACCAGAATAAAAAGTGGAGTCGGAAAAAATAAAAAAGATTTTGGGAGACTTTGGTTCTGTCTAGTCATACACTGAGTTCCTAAACTCTATAACCACTATTTTCGTACTTATGCACTTTCCCCTCATTTAACCAACTGTTTCCTAAGTTTCAATAATTTTAAAACATCTGGTATATACTTGACTTCGGTCTCTTCAGTTATATTCGCCCTTAAGAAGCCTAACTCATATCCAAAAGCAAGATCCATAAAGTATAACTAACATTTTCCTTTGTCTCATCTGTTATAATATTCAATCTCTCTCCACCCCCTGCTCCTCTCTCACTCTCTCTCTTTCTTTCTGTACTTCAACGAAGTAATTCTTCTATAATATCTGGATTAGGCTGGTTCCAAAGAACGTAAGATAGAGATAGAGAAAGTTGAGTGAAAAATTTAACTACTCTTCCTTTCAGGTTCTATGTTCAGGTGAAGGACTCCGCCAAGGTGTGGTCGGCCGTGAAATCCGTTCCTGGATCGACACCCGTCGAGCCGGCCCTGGAGAACTGACAGCCCACTGTGCCGGGCCCAGAAAAGTGGCCTACTGCGAACTATATGACCACGGTGATGCCACCTTTACGCTGAACGTCAAACCTCAGGAAGCTGGACGCCATGCGTTGACGGTAAAATACGCAGGACAACACGTTCCCGGATCGCCGTTCGTTTTGAAGGTTGCTGGAGCACCAGATGCATCCAAGGTACAGGATTATTCGTACGAGCTCACAATCTGATAGTAACCGTTCGAGGAATAGAGCAAAGACCGTTTTGCTTTTACTTTGCCTAAACTGCTGCAACCCGTATTGCGCTAGCGTAGTTTGTGGGTTGCGGGCGCGTAGGAGGATATTGTGCTTTCATAGATTATACTGCCTTTGTGATAACAAGGGGTGGAGGACATATGAGTCATAGTACAGGTCGAGCATAATGGGCGAGCGCGTTGTGCATACATTAATTCTCAAGACACGCAAACTTGACATTTGAAAGAAATATTTTGGCGTAGCGTGATATAATAGCAAGTAGCAGTTTTTGGTGCTTTGATTGTTCGACTCCAAAGATACTTAATAGCAGAAGTTTGTCCTATAACGACTATGACTAGTTCTGTAATTGTAGGTGTTATTGATACAGTATTTTGTTTTTCATCAGGTCAGGGTATATGGGCCAGGGATTGAACATGGTGTACTGGCCACGTTCCAGTCGAGATTCATCTGTGACACCCGAGGTGCAGGTGCAGGACAACTTACCGTCAGAGTTAGGGGTCCTAAAGGAGCGTTCAGGGTGGAAATGCAAAGAGAAAGTCAGAAGGACAGAACAATACTTTGCAAGGTAATTTGGAGTACACTGTTGGTAACACCACTGGCACTGTGAAGGAACGTTGAGGTTTTCCTGAAATACATAATTTTTGATTATTCGGAATTTCCAGAATTTTTAGTTTTTTTTTCAATTTGCAGATTTACGGAAATATCAGATATTTTTTTGACGTTTTAGAATTTCCAAAGTTTCTACAATTTTCTAGATTTTTTGTTTTATTCCGGATCAGAATTTTCTGTATTTTCATATACATGTTACGGTGTTTTTGATATTATCATATTTTCTGGAGCTCATGTAATATTCGAAATTTTTGCAGTTTTCTGGATTCTCCGAAACATCGTAATTGTCCGAATCCTGAAATTTTTCTAAGATACGATTTTATCGATATTTTGAATGGAATTCCTCTGGTTCTTACAATTTCTTGGAATTGCATATTTACGGAATTTTTGCGTATTTGCCGTTTTGGAATCTTCGGAACTTCCATTTTTGCAATTTTCTGGATTTTCTGAAATTTCGAAATTGATCGAATCCTGGGATTTTTCCAAGATATCAGATTCTAGAGAAATTTTGAAATCTTCAAAATTAGTCGAAATTTTATCGAAATTGTCTGAATACTAGTTATCTGAAATTTTTGATATCCCAGACCTTTGTAGAATTTTCTGAATATTCAGAACTTTACAAACTTTTAGGGTCTAGGATTCGTTAAATTTTTAAAATTGTCAGTAAAAACTTAAAAACATTTGACGTCTTGGAATCCTCGGAATTTCCAAAGTGTTTGCAATTTTCAGAATTTTTTGAAAATTCCGTTTTTTTCGAGATGTCGGAATTGCTGAAATCTTGGATATTTTCATATACATATTTACATATTTTAATAATTGTCAGATTTTCCCGATTTTATCTAATATTCGATTTTTTTTGCAATTTTCTGGATTTCCCGAATTTTCGTAATTTTCCGAATTCCGGAATTTTCGCAAGCTATCAGATTCTAGAGTAATTTTCAAATCGTAAAATCTCGATTTTTTTATCGGAGTTTTGGATAGAATTGGAATTCCCAGAGTTTTAAATTTATTTTTTTTGGATATACGGAATTTTTGCATTTCTGACGTTTTGGAATCTATCGGTACATCCAGTTTTTGTAATTTTCAGAATTTTCAGGATTTCTGTTTTTTTCCGAAACATCAGAATTTCTGGGTATTCTCAAATATTTCGAAATTTGTGAAATTTTCAAATTTACCCTGGCTAATGTAATACTCGGAATTTTTGCAGATTTCTGGATTTTCCGAGTTTTCGTCATTTTTCGAATCTTAGGATGTTTTCAAGATATCAGATTCTAGAGAAATTTTGAAATTTTATCGGAATTGTCCGAATACTAATTCTTTGCAGTTTAGGGAATCCTAGATCTTGTGGAATTTTCTGAATATTTAAAACCTTCCAAGCTTTTGGGGTCTAGGATTCCTCTAACTTTAAAATTTTTAAGTAAAGACTCCCAAATTTTCAGATGCTTCAGTCTATGCAAAATATTCACGTAATCTTTTCACAATTTTTTGAACTTGGGGGTTTACGGAATTTTTGCTTTTTTGACGTTTTGGAATCCCAAAGTTTTTGCAATTTTCTGAATATTTTGAATTCTTGTTTCTTCCGACGCATCAGAATTTCTGTTATCTTGGTTATTTTCATATATTTATATATTTTTGAAATTCTCAGATTTTCCCGAGCTTTTGTAATATTCGGAATATCTGCAGCTTTTTGGATTCTTCGAATTATCGTAATTTTCCGAATCCGGGGATTTTTTCAAGAAATCAGATTTTAGAGTAATTTTGAAATTCTCGATATTTGAAATTTTATCAAGGTTTTGGATGGATTTGCAATTGCAGATTTACCGAAATTTCGGGTTTTGACGTTTTGGAATCTTCGGAGTTACCTAAATTTTTGCAATTTCGAAGTTTTTTCGAATTTCCATTTTCATATATTTCAATCTTTTCAAAAATCTTAGTTTTTGCAGTTATTTGGATTCTCCGAATTTTCGTAAAAGTCCAAATCCTAGGATTTTCCTTAGAGAAATTTTGAAATCCTAGAAACATTGGAAATCTTGTCGGAATTGTCGAAATCAAATTCCCTAAATTTTCTAAAATCTCATACATGTGGCAATTGTAGAATTTTGGAAACTCCAAAGTTTTCGGGGTCTAGAATTCCCTAAACTTTGATTATTTCTTCTTTTCAGTATGACCCAACAGAACCTGGCGACTATAGAGTGGAAGTAAAATGGGCTGGTGAATTGGTTCCTGGCTCGCCGTTCCACGTCATGATTTTTGACACCCAAGAAGAACTGAGAAGATACATTAGTTCATTGTAATTTATCAAACAAATAGTATTATCTTTTTTGTACCTTGATCTTCGACTTATTAGACGTCCGAAATATTTTTTTATTTTGTACATACACGAACGACATCTATTCCCCGTTAAAAATGAAAAGACTAACGGGACTCGATAGAGATGTATTAGTATAATTAGTATTAATAACTCTGATTGTATTTAATTTTAATAAACTGTTACGAATAACTAAACCTGCAGTATGTTTATCCTAAAAATAAACCCACATATACAGGGTGTCCCAAGACAAAATTGGCGAGTGAGTCCCGGTACAGGGTGTCACATAAGTTATGGAGATTTGGGTTTACAGTTATAACCGATATTTTGAAAATGGTGGGACTTTCGGTTGTGTTGAAGTACGAGGGTGGTGCGAGAAGTATCTACAAAGAAAATTGTGGAAAAGTGGCGATTTATTTCTCAACATAGCCTCCTTTCGCACGGGGCCAAATCTTCGACTGTTCCTTGGTCTGTGGCGTGTCTCGTGCCCAATATATCATGCAGGATTATTACAACCTCGAGATCATCCTAGAAGAGTTGCACTTTGCCAATTTTAGAATCTTTTAGCAGAAACGAAGATTATCAGAAATTAATTTTGTGTAGTGTACATACGAGGCCACATTTACACGAAATGGAGTGCACAAGTGGTAGTAGAAGAATGGAGGCGAAATGTGCATGAAAAAAAGTTTCCAGTAACATTGTTCTTGGATTTCGAGAGAGAATTTGAGACTATTGACAGGGAGAAATTTTTAACGAAATTGCATTACTATGGGTTTCAAGGTTCAGTACTCAACTTATTACAAAATTATTTAATCAACAGAAGTCAAAGAATTAAAAGTGGCAATACATTATCAAGCATTAAAAACATTTCGGTAGGTGTGCCACAGGGTAGCAAATTAGGTCCATTACTATTTATTTTATGTATTAACGATATTCCTGATGTTTTACAACAATGCAAAATTCAACTATTTGCTGATGATGCATTTATATATATATATATATACGAGCATATATAGGTGAAAAATTAAAGCTTCCGCCTTTTGTTGGGTACTTCGACAAAATTTAAGCAAAGAGGACTCTTCATACTTTTTTTAATTCTCTCTAGCTTTCAATGGACTTTTCCATCATCATCAGGAGCTGCAATTACAATGATAACAGTAGCAACAAAAGTGTAAAATGAATTTAAATTGACTCAACTTACAGTAGTATGTGAGGATGTTGCTAATTGTTGTTTACGTATAGGATGAGGGAAACGTCCAGTAACATGGTGAGAGCTGGATACATGGTACAATGGTCAAAATTATATAAAATATGACAAGACAAGTTAAAAACAGATTAAAAATTATTTAAAAAACATTAGAGCATTACGTCGTGAAGCCACTTGATGATTGCACAAAATGGTGGTCATGGAATAATGAGTGAGAAATTTTTAATAATTTAAACTAACTCTCTTGTTATGCAACTTTTATACAGGTGAGTTTTAGTATATTAACTTCCTTTGACGAGTCCTGCAAGCAGTTAAAATAAACGACTCTTTGAAAACACCCTGTATACCTATGACCTATAACCGCCACGTAGTTGCATAGATCTATTAAAACTCAGTCCATAGGCAACAAACGAAGAATATATGTACGCACTGCGCCACTTTTCTGTCAGCGAGCGCCACTATAGCAAAAAAAAGACACACCGACCATTATATTATTATTGTTATTATTTTTATAATAATTCATTGTTCGGAAAGTAGAACAGCGCAAGAGGCAACCATGTAGAGCCGGTGAAGAGAGCGAGTTGGCGAAGCTAAAGGCGGGCTTACACGAGAACAGCAGTTGAAACCGGTATTGATAGTCATTGGTGGCCAGCTGTAGTTTTGTAGAGTTTGTTTTAATAAGTATTAGGTACGTTTTATCTCATTAAAATCATAAATCTGACAAAAACAATTGTCAAAACCTGTTGAAAATGGCCGGTATTCCCGATTCAGACGAAGAAAAGTTTGACATGACAGCAAGGTACTTGGGGATGTACTCTACTACTAATTTTTCATGCAGATCCACACCCTTAAATATTCGCATGTCATTAAGGAACACCCTGTATATTCTAGATATCGGCGTTACGAGATTACTTTATCTGAAGTCACTTGAAACACTGTGAAATACCGGGTGCGTTTTATATATCTATATTTAACACGCTCTGTTGCTGCAAAAATCGCCAAATTTCGCAGCAAATATCCCCCGTATAAGAGATCAAAGGCAGTTTCACCGGTCCACGTGGAGTAAAGCACGCCTATGCGTGGACATAGCCAATGAGAAAGCGTGTATTTCAGAGCTCGGAACAAGTGCAGGTGGCTACTGAAAATTGAAACAGTTTAGCCAGTGCCGTGTAGCGGTGAATAAACGTGTTTTCTTTAGTCTGTCCGTGTTTTTTCATAGATTTTATTAGTTTGTGTGTTTTTGACTTTTGAATACTCAGTTTACTTGTTGATTTAATTGTTGTGTTGATTGTTCTTGTGTGTCCTAAATATGGCTCTTTGGAGACCATGGGAAAATGCTCCAAGCCACGAGGAGATGGTTGATGAACCTGTGCAGGCAGAATTCTTTCATAAAGATTTAGAGGAACAGACCCAAAGAGTAATCCTAAATATGTATGATTGTCTGTAAAACGAAAATCCAGATTCCTCGCAAAATTAAATTTTAAACAGAATTTGTATCCTGACAAAAATCAGTCGGCCTACCATTTATCGCGTTATAAAAAGGGGAGATGTAGTCAACCATTCCTTCCACAGAAAGCGCATAGGGCAAAAATTAAAAAGAATAGACGTGGGTTTTCAGGAAGATGTTCGTCGTATAATATACGGATTTTATAAAGAAAATTTGGTGCCCACCTTGGAAATGATACGGGATAAATTAAAAGATTATCCTGGAGATTTTTATAATTACAAATGTTTAGACTCACTGCACTGTATTGTAAAACTGTGTGGTTTTCAATACAAAAAATTAGATAAAAGAATGGTGATTATGGAGTCGTCTCGAATTGTTGAATTGCGCCAAGAATTTTGCACAAAGTTAAAATCTATAGAGAGCAGAAAAGAAATCTGATTTACCTGGATGAAACGTGGTATGATACCCATGATGTTGTGCAGTACGGCTGGGTTGACGACAGCAACAAGTGCATTTTAAATGCACCATGCAACCGTGGAAAACGAATCATTATTCTCCATGCTGGCAGTGAAAATGGATTTATACCTAATGCCTTGCTGTTATCTGCCAAAAATATCAAAGAATCATGTGCCGACTATCATGAGGACATGACCTCCGACTTATTTGAAAAGTGGATAGAGCAGCAGTTAATACCAAACATTTCCCCAAATTCAGTGATTATTATGGACAATGCGTCATACCATTCCCGACAGAAAAACAAAATTCCGAATACAGGCACAAAAAAACAAGACATTATTGATTTTATGAAGGATAAGGGAATGGAAATACCACAAAAATCAACCAAAGCCATATTATTGGATCTTATTAAAAGACAAACATTTGAAAAAGAGTATGTTGTTGACAATCTGCTTCAGCAAAATGGCCATGAAGTATTACGTCTACCTCCCTATTACTGCATTTTTAACCTGATAGAGTTGGTCTGGGCTGCTTGAAAAAAAAAGTAAGAAAACATAATCAGACCCCTCAATTAAGTGAATCGCTATTGGCCACAATAAGAGATGCAGTATCTCATATTGCTGCCACAGACCTATGGAAGCAGTGTTCTAGGCATATTATTGAAAAAGAAAATGAATATTGTGTTATGCCTCCTGTAAATCCCGTTGTAATTCCTCTACAAGATGACTCTAGCGACAGCTCCGAAGGCGAGGATGATATATAAATACCTATAATGTAAGTCTTTATATACCTTTTTATATACCTACCTGCTATGCAAATATTTGCCTATGTCAAACGTTGGAATTCTGTAATTTGCCCATTTCTTAACTTTCAGTCAACATAAATTAAACTCCCAATATAAGTATTTTTTATCCCAAATCAAAAAAATAAGAAGATAGTAAAATCCATTTATTGTGATATAAAAATATTATTATTATCGTTCTAAATAAATGCCGCACGCCTATGATACGTCATGAAATTACAAAGGACGCGCCGACCAAAGGTTTTTATGCTATTTCAAGTGACTTCAGATACACCATACCTGCGAGGTAATTTTTATTTATTTCATTCCATTTCTTCTTTCTTTGAGTGCTCAGTCCCCCAATCTAAGATTTGTTAACGAAAATGTCATACCCAACACAACGTTGAGAAACGCAAGATATTGGTAACAAACCAAAAATGTTGCTAGATACTGAAAAGGACGAACCGAAATATCAACTTTGAATCTTTGAACTTTTAATTTAAATCTGAAAGTTCTTAGGAAAATCCTTTTCCTTCGCGTTCTAGGTACATAATACTTTTATATTTCCTCATTTTCAGCCGTCTCAATAGGTTCAATATATACTAAGTGACATATAAATCCGAACACCCAGTTTAAATGGTTTTATTTTAATAAAAGTTGCTGAACGTATTTATCTTACTGTAAATAACAAGTGAAAAAAATTTCAGCCTTATCAGTTGGACATTCCGGTTTTTATACTGCTTTTTTTTTAATTCACTAACGCTCTAAAAATGAATATTTCAGCCGCAGTAAAGAATCAACGTTGGCGGATTTTGGTTCTTGATATCCTTCACGATCGGTTACGATGCCTAGAGTACGGAGACCTGTACGATTTCGTAAACTTAGTGAGTTTGATAGGGGCCGTATAGTGGGACTTCGGGAAGCTGGACTTTCTTTTCGGGCAATTGCAGTTAGAGTGCAAATAAGTGTAGACACTGTGGTTAGGTGTTGTCAGGCATGGCTTCGAGAAGGCCGTACGCAAAGAGCAAGGGGCACTGGACGCCGCCGTAGAACAACAGACCGTGAAGATCGCCGCCTAAGATTATTGGCCTTAAGGGACCGTTTCTCCACTACCAGGTCCATTGCAAATGAATGGTTTGCAGAACACGGAAGACCTATTGGCATGCGAAGTGTTTACCGACGAATGAGAAGTTTTGGCTTGTTTTCATACCGGCCACACTTGGTCCTCCCTTTAACTCGAGAACACCGACGTAATCGCCTTGAGTGGTGCAGACAACGGTCACTCTGGGATCAGGAATGGAACAGT